AATTTAAGAAATTAAATGACATATTAAAAGGTGGTACTCTAGTATTTATCAAAACTATTTCAAGCGAGCGCTTACCGATTTTTGTGAGAAAAGTCAACAGTTGTTCGTTTAGAATTAAAACTTTTTGGATATGTTAACAAATTGCTAAATAAATAGATGCGTTTCATTGTTTGTTTAAGGGTGGGTAGTTTTTGGCGATTTTGGCCATTTATCTGCAAAAACAGTAATTTGTGATGGCATTGTGCGTGATAGTATCTACTAGATTGATATATATTTAAGGATCGAGAAAGAATGATTTTTTTGTCGATTATTATTCTTATTATTATTTAAATATTTATTTTATCTTTTTGTGGTGTTAAAAAAAACCTTAATAAATTCTTACAATTTAATAGTAAAAGTCAAGACAATAAAAATTTTATCTTGATATTTTATTTGGTAAAATAAATTTTTTTATCAAAATAATGGAATGCAACTTGCCAGTACTGCCCTGCACAGTTATATATTAACTAATATTCACTACAAAAAAGATTTACATTTCATTATAAATGTAGCTATTTTGATCAGTCCTGAGTTGAGAAAATTGTTTTAGCATGAGTGTTTTGGCCGTAAAATAAAATTCGCATGGGATAGATGCTGGCCAACAAAGCTGGCACTTTAAGCTAATGGCTGTCCTAGAGTCAAATTGCCGCAGGCCTCATTATGCATACAAAATGGAAGCTTATTGGCCGGACAGGCGGCACAAACAGCCGTACAGCGGACAAACATACGGCGTACGGAGCACGGACAACGGACAATGACAGTTGCGTTTACGTTACGGGCAAACAAACAAAACTACGGGCGATATGAAAGTGCGCACACAACGACACAAAATCATTTGAAAGCAATTATATCAGACAAACACGGGGGACTGGGAATGGGAACGGGAATGGGAATGGGAACGGGATTGGGTCAGTCCGTGCTCCAAGCACGGCGTACAATGAATCAATTTACGGTACGTAACAAAGCCGCAATTACAAGCGCCGGGAGAGCGACAGAGACGAGAAACAAAACGACAATTATGAAAAGAGCAGCGAGTGCAACTGCAATTGCAATTGCAATCGCAATTCCACTGACAGTCGCCTGTCGATGCAATGCACAATTTTTGGGGCCACGTTAAATGACGCAGGGGCCTGGACCATTTTTTGTTTGCATTTCTTGCTGCTTTTCCCCGACTTGGGACCCGCGTGTCGGTTCTAATGGATAATTGTCGGCCTGCCATGCCGATGAGAGGCATTCTTGAGCGGATCGGAAAGGGTAGCAATGGCGGGATTAGCTTTACAAAGGTGGGGGAATTGCCCAACAGCACTTGTTGATTCCACTCCGGGGTCCCAAACTGTTACGAGATGCTGACGCTCAAAGGGTTTTCCAGGAATATCATTGCATGTTAAGTTGATGAGCTTTATAAGGGTTTAAGAAAATTATTTCATATTATGCAATACCAACACTGTTACGAGATGATGATGCGTTAAGGATTTTCCAGGAAAGTCATTGCAAATTTAGTTTATCAAGATGCTGTAGATTAGGGTTTGGAAATATAATTGGGAGCACGCCAATTGCAAATATTTTGAAACGTCAGAAAAGTCAGCTATGCATTCAAAATATTAAAACAAGTAACTTTGTTTAATTAGAAATTAAGTCTTAAAAGCAATTAAAAATTGTTTCTATAAATATAATTAATTCTTATATATTTGAAAACTTATTACTTTGTTATATGCACTTAAAAAAATACTACCTTAACTACCTATAACATATTTGGTCTCAATGAACGTGTCTAAGAATTAAAGAAATAAAGCTTGGCTTTAAAATACCTTCAATTTTTTGAGAATTTTATTTGTTTTTCAGGTTTTATTAGCAGACCATTCTTTTGAATTAATAAATCAGTGCTGTTTTATTATAATTATGAAATGTAATACATTTGTTTTTGTTATTTGGGTTAAATTTTACAAAAACTGAGTTGTTAAGCAATTTTAAGATAATTGAATAAAAAAGGTATTAGAATGATCGATCATCCCATAAAACGATCTCTCTCACTTGATGTTTGCTGCATTTACACTAAAAATACATTGGCAAAGTGAATTGTATTAATAGCAGGGCATTTATTTAGTTATTTCAAAGTTTTGTGTGTTGTTTTTTTTTTGAGTTGGCTTGTTTTATTTTCATTTTCTTTCGCCTTTGTGTTTATTTACTTTGCCATTTTGCGCCGAGCAGGCAGCTCTTCTTGTTTTATTTTCCGTTGGCCCTTCAAAAGATTTATAAAGTTTGCCAAAAGAGTGGGTGGCGAGGGGCGTCGTGGGCAGGGGGGCGGTAGCGTTCAAAATTACTGAGCCGTGGCGATCGCCGCGCCAGTCAACGAAACTGTGAATGGAATTGTATTCGCATGTTTTCAACGATATTCGCCAAGTTGCACAACGAAAATAGAGAAAGATACAGACACAAGTGCAGAGATGCGGATGCATTTGTATCTGTGAATCTGGGCAGCGTCATCAAAAGGTAATTTGAATTAATTCAAGATTTATGCATTCAACATTCGCTAGGTGCCACATTTCACATTCGCATCGCCACAAAACTTTTCACCAACTTCATGTTGCAGTCAGTGATGGGAATGGATAGGTAACACCTAGGTGAGGTACCAAGTGCATAAAAAATAACACTATAAATAAAAATGTAATACGTTTGTTACAAAAAAAAAAAATTGTAAATTAAAAAAAAATAAATGCTTTGTTACATTAATTGTATTTAGTTGGGTGCTAGCCACATAAAATAGAGAACAACAAGAGTTACAAATTAATTATTAATGAAAGACAATCTGTAGAAAAATACCAAATTAAACATTTAAATTTGAATTGTACCTATAGGTACAAGCACACTCCATCACTCGTTGCAATTGCAATAGTTGCACCAGTTGCTAGTGTTGCAGTTGCAGTTGTTGCACCTGCCAGCATCGTCGGAGCTCAGCGAGCAGCAGGTGATCCATTTCTTTTATCCGGTGGCCTCCGCTTTCCCGCCACGAGAAATATGGCAAGGGATTTGGAGGGAACGGCGACTCGGCAGCCCATCCCAGCCTATTTTTGCTTGCTGCGCTGCTACGAGTTGGCCAAACTAATGCAAATAGAAAAGATGAGCTGCAATCAGCATCCGCGCCCCCTTCGCGGAGTGCTGAATTCACTTGGTTATACAATTTGCAGCATTTCGATAATAGATATATTTATAACCGTACGTCTATGTGGATGTACATGCATGAACTGCATAATTTATGGGCATTGCGTGTTCAATGGATTGCGACGGCTGTTCGGGCCATATGGCTGTACCTATGTCTTCCAGTCACCCATTTCTTTCTAAATCTTCTCTTTTTTTTCTGATCGAGCTGCTTGCTTTTCTCTTAGGGTTACTGAAATGACAAAGGGTTTATCAAGCAGCAGTTGCTAAGTCTTTCTCCGAGCTTCCTTTAAAAAGATTAAGTTGATTGGACCATCAGCCAATACATGTCTTTGAATTAATTTAAAATTAGTTCATGGCCTAACCAAAGTTAACCTAAGCCACATTATAAATTTACATACTTCCTATGACTTGAATGGTTAGCCAATACAATTTAAAATAGTTTATAGAATTGTCTTTTTGCATTATTAACAGTTTTATGACAATTATTTGACTTTAATAAGTTAAGCTGATGATTTATACTTGCCTTTTATTAATCTATTGCTTTATTCAAAGTCTCAGTAAAATTGAATTTGGAAAATATTTCATGTTAAGTATCAAATCTCTTTTTAAAGTTTTAGTATTTTGTCATAAGGCACTCTTCCATCTATTTCCAAATTCATTCACATTAAAGCATCATAATTGATGCATCATTCTGACAATCCAATAGGTTCTCTATTCCATAATTTGCTCACTTTATGGGCTGCGTCAAAAGTCCATTCCACAACTACCTTCAATCAGCTCACTTGGCTGCCAATCACTGGATCATCCATTTGTTAGTCTGACTTTCTGACAGCAGAATAGCACCCTGCTCAACCAAAACTGCAAGCCAACTGCAAACCGATGCAAATTATCAGCAATGCAGCTCGCAATTAATCTGCTGCATATGACACCGCAATCACAACTTAACCTATTTTGGCACAAATATAAATGTTGAATGAGGGGATGCCGGCTGGGGAAGCGGTCTGATTATAAACTGTAGCCGGAAGGATGAAAAGCGGGCCGAGAACAGTGACTGCATTGCACTAGAGCACTAAGCCGAATGGCTTTAATTGAATTTTGATGTCCTTGGCAAATTGTTTTCTAATTAGTTTCGCAGACTTGGATCCCCAGCTGGGCCTGCGTCCATTTCTGGCCAGTTTCGGCCAGTTCCGGCCCTAGTTGACATAGAAAACTTTCTGTCAACAACTCTAACTGCTCTGACACCACTCCCCAAGCCACGGTTCATTCCCTTCCGGCGCCCTGCGCTTCAATAATGACAAACTTAAAACTTAAACAATTAATGCCACGTCCACGAGTCTACGACCTCAAACTAAATAAAAAAGTTCATGTTTACTTTGGCTCCTCGAAGTTTGTATGTCCTTTCTAGAAAAATATTCATGCTTTATGAAGATTGGAAATTGTTTCTTGCCTATTGGCTTTAATTTTGTAAGTTTTAATCTTAAACGAATAAATCTAATTAAATATATATATATATATATTACCTTTACCATTTTGAAATATGTTTGCCCAATTCCACATTTTTTAGTGATACTTCTTGCTTAATATGTTTTATAAGATCGTTGATTTATTAAAAAATGTTTTTCAGCAGATCCAACTGTATAAAACTATCAAACTCATTTAATAGACCTATTCAAAAAGTGTAGTACAATTTATATGTAGTAAATTAGTTTGCAAACTGACCAAAGTTGTGCTCTGCCCCTTTTTCGACACTTATCGAAATTACCTGGAACAAGGGTATTCCGGCTTAATGCCGGAGTACTTACCCAGGATCATTGGGCACCTCCGACGGGGAACAGGGTCCCAGCTCCACTTGCTGTTGCTGCTGCTGCTGCTGCTCAATCTTGATGTCCATGTTGGGCGATTTATGTCGGGATTGAGGTTGAATTGGAACTGGAGCTGGAGCTTGGAGTTCGGAGCTGATGTGGTTGTCTGGCTGTCTGTCTATTCTATAATTGTTGCTCCAACGCCTTCTTGCCGGGCATCGAGGGCTGCGAGGGGAGGTCGAGTGGATCTGTGTGGCTGAGTGGCTGTGTTTTGGGTGTAATGTGTGGACGGGGAATGCTGCTACTACGAGTTGGCTAACAGAGTGCTCCCTTAATCATTGGCCACGATGGCTGCTAGTTGGCTATTCGATTGGCTACCGGATTCCTTGATTTCCATTTGGCCTGGCTTCGGGTGTTCCGCTGATTTTTCACGGTTTTTCCTTTGGTTTTTGGTTTGCTTTTTTACTAATAATTTGGTTACATTGCACACTGTGAATCACATTTCTTGGTTGTTTTAGTTGCTTCGTTTTGCAGGCCACTTTTGGTTTGGTTTTAATTTTATTGTGTATTTTTATTGTGTACTTATTATGTGGTATTTAGATTTTAAGTTTTAGAAACGTTGCGTTAACTTTGGTTGTTGGTTTCCCAATTGATTTAAAGGCAACATATTACTGCAAAAGATCTGTTTTGTTTTGATTTGTTTTCGGTTGTGTTTGGTGAAAATTAATTAAATTGCAATTTTAAACTTTTCCCGGGGAAACTTTTGAAAAGGCAATTTCCCCGCCGCTCCCTCCCCCTCTCTTTCCCACCCATCCGCAGCTGCTGCAACACCCCAGCCCCCCTTGCCCACCCCCGCGTAAAATGCAATGATTCGCAACGAACAATCGTAAAATGCAAAAAAGTGCAACCGATGGGGAGGGAAAAAGAGAGAAAGGAAAAGCGGTGGAAAAGGTAGGTGGGGAACGGGCGTAGAAGGGGGCGGCAAAGTGACGGCTGAGTGACAATTGGGATGCGGTACTGCGAGTACAAGAGATCTGTGTTTGAAATAAATTTGCCTCACTTTATATGGCAACAACCGTCAAATTAATTTGCTAGAATGAGAATAGCAACTCCAACCTCCAATAAAAAAAACATCCGAAAAAAAGTTGCATAAAAAATTTAATTAATTTTCCGCTAAATTTTAGCTGTAGCATTAACTTCATTTTTGGGAAGAAGATCTTAGTAAATTTAATTTATTTTTGTGGCAGCAATAAAGCTATATATATATTTTAAATTAAAACCTTCAAAATTAGAGCCTATTGTTGAAAATGTCTCTATCTTTATTTTAATAGTTATGCTTAAATTCCGTAGAAACTTTTGGAGAGAAGGGAATGCAAAAATTGAGGATTCCAAATTTTATAGCTTTGAACTATTTGGGTTGCTTTTCCCTCTATATTTTTTTGTTTTCCTTATATTTTGAGTTTTTTTTTTGCATTTTCTGTGTTTAATACGCGCCTTGATCTTTCCCACACCCACAACAACAATAAATACAACAACAACAATAATAGAGAACGATTGAACGAGAGAGATGGAGAAAAGAACATTTCATGCAGTGACTCCCTCAACAAAAACAAAAGCAACAACAATATAATATCGCGCAGCATGCAAGCTTTCACAAACAGACACTCACACACACACATACCCCATCGTACACCCGCAATAGCACACCAAAACACACACACACACGCTGAGAACATGCACCGTTACAACGAGAGCAGAAGTTAACTAGCGGCAGCAACAAACACGTGACCCGACAATTGCGACAATTGGCAGCACAAAATAAAACAAAATAAATGGAAAACTAAAACAGAACTAAAATAACACATGGTCGGCCAGTGATCGACGATCGGGGGATCTCTATTGATCGGTAATCGAAGTTACCGTTATTCTGCCCGACGACAGACATTTTGTGCGAGAGATCAGTAAAAGCTGTTTGCTAAGAGAGAGGCTTAAAAAGAGAGTACAAAAATGGAATAAAACATTTCTGTTAGATCATTAAATTTCCTATAATTATTCCAATTAAAATCCTTTTACTAAATATTTAGTAATCATTTCTGAGTTGCATGTTAGACCCCATTTTAATAGCTCTTTATTGCTACAGGGCTTAGACCATTTTCTGGCTCTCTTACTATTTTATGTCCTTTGACGTATACGTAATTTTTCTTTTAGATAAACTCTCTATTTTAGGAATGGTAATGAAAATTAGTGGTATCGGTATATACCTTCTCTAAAGAAATTTATACATATTTATTTTGGTTTTCCTAATTTTTGTCAATAAAAAAGCTCTACAAAATGCAACTAATGAACGTTTTTATATAAATAAACCAATTTAGAACACTTTAAATTGAGAATACGAAAATGACGGTTAAGAGGGTTCCATTACATAAAATTTTTATATTTGTAGTCACATAGTCTATATCTGAAAGGCAATTGCTTTAAATAACATATGAACATATATAAAAACCCAATAATCGAAAAATAAGCGATAATCAATAGAAACGAAGTCCACAGCTATATGTAAGTATAACTAGGGATCTCTCTTCCTCTTTCCTTATCGATCAAATATCGTAAGTTCGCCGGCCGGCAGCCATTTTGCAGGAAAGATCAACACAAATGCCATGGGCTACGAGGGGAGTGGGAGTGAGAGGGTTGGTGGTGGTGCTGCTGCGAAAGAGAGGGTTGCGCCTTAACTCTTCTTCTTCAGTGGTTATTGTAGTTGCTTGCAATTAAAATCGAATGCCGCGCACTTTTATTTGTTTTCCCTATTTCTTTTGTTTTATATTATATAATCGTCAAATTGCACTCCACACAGCCATCGAGGTAAACAAAATGCAAATGCCCTCCACAGCAGGGGTTTCTTTCCTCTATTATTATTCTTTGTGCCTATTATTTTATTGGTTGTATCTTGTAAGCTGCGGTACGCGTTTTGGTAGTTGTTTTGGCCAAAGCGCACGCACTTCGCACGGGGGCAACGGCAACTCAGAAATCGGGGGACTCGAGGAATATAGAAATTGCACCGCAAAGTGCAACTGTGGCGTTCCGTTTTTCTCAGTGCGCGCACACGAACGCGACAGCCAACAAGACGACACTGAGCGGCGAGACCCCAAAACCCAACTGACGGCCCCAAACGACCGGCGGCAGCGCTGCTGCACTCTCTGCCCTGCTGCCGCCGCACTGTGTGTTGTTGCTGCTGCCGCCGCTGCCCCAGCGGAGCTTTGCGCCGGCAGCGACGTCGGCAGTGGCAGTTGCACTATTTACCGGCTGCACATGGCGCATGTACTTCAGCATCACAGCTGATAAGTGATAAGCCGCAGCGAGGAAGAGAGTGGCTGGCAGCCGGCAAAAGCTCAACGGAAAGAGAGGCGTTCTCTTAAACGCCACAAAGCTTCGAAAGCTCACACTGCACAAAAAGGAGGCAAGTGCTTTGGCAATTCAATCTGAAACAATTAATACATATAACTACAGTCAAGCCGAAATTTTGTATGGAAATTGAATGGTGATACTTTCACCCACGTTTAGTTTTCGCTTTGGTGCATTTAAGGATTACCAAACGAAAATTTGTTGGAAAATTATGAGCATTATCTTTAAAAATGATCACCCATACGCACTGTTGCCTTCCGACAACATGTCGGATGAGTAATTATTATTTAGGAAATTTTACGACTTACAATAATTTTATTTTGCACAGCATCAGTTACCATTTTAAGTAGTAGAACTTAGGTGATATAGGATTAAAATAAGAAAATCTTACTCTAGCCCGCAGTATTCATCTTTAATTTCATCTTAAACCCAAGATTGCGGAAACACCCAATGTGGCGTATGAGTAATATTTATTTATTTATCTAATACTTAGTACCTGTGAAAATGTTTTTTATATATCTTGGGATGAAAATGCAAAGTGCATAGCACTATTTCTTTGATTTATAACCAAAGTTCTTAAACTTTTCCACCATAATAAAAACAACCATGTTGAATATTTATCGACTTCAAAACATCGTTTAATTTCGTTTTCCCACACTGACAGGTTGAAATTACGGCATACGGGAAATTTATTACGGGCTAGCGCTTATATGCTCAACACAGGAACGAGGTATTATCCATGGGGCTATCTTAAAAATATGCAAAAACAATGATGAACGCGTCGTGGAGAAGTGGGACTCCAGGAGGTCTACGAACTCCTTGAGCCGCCTCTGTTTGCGCCAAAGGTCGGGTCTTTCTCCGGTTCGCGATTAGGGATTACAACAGAAACAAAGAGATGTCGGCACCCTCGTCGAACTGCCACTCGGAAACTTCCCATCCACCAAGGCATCTTGGGTCCCGGCCTAACTGCTCTGGGCAGTTACGGGCTTGGTGGGCGGCGAGGTGGGCGTGCTGCCGGCGTCCAGGGGCTCCGTGCGCTCCTTCTCCTTGTTCCAGCTCTTGAGGCCTTCGGGCAGGGTGGTGTCCTCCTCGAAGGAGCCGGTGCCCTCGACGAACTCCTCGTAGGTGGACTTCTCCTTGAAGGGCCGCGGTCCCAGCAGCTCGATCATGTCATCTCGGCTGAGCACCTCGTTTTGAAGCAGTCGCTCGGCCACTTTCTTCACATCCTCCTTGTGCTTGGTCAGCAGACCAGTGGTGGCCTCGTGGGCGCACTTGATAATCGACCTCACCTCGCCATCGATCAGCTGGGCCGTGTCCTCGGAGTAGGGCTTGCTGAAGACGGGATCGCCGGCCTGGCCCACATCGAAGCTGACCTGTCCCACCTTCTCGTTCATGCCGAAGCGCACGACCTGGGAGTAGGCAATGTCGGTGATTTTCTTCAGATCGTCCTGGGCACCCGTGGTGATGCGATTGAAGAACAGCTCCTCGGCCACGCGGCCGCCGAGGGTCATGCACATGCGATCGAACAGCTGCTCCTTGGACAGCAGATAGTGGTCCTTGGGCAGGTACTGGGCATAGCCCAAGCCCTTGCCGCGCGGTATGATCGACACCTTGAGCAGGGGATCGGCGTGCTCGAGGAACCAGCCGGCCACCGCATGGCCGGCCTCGTGGTGCGCCACCGTTCGCTTCTCCTCCGGCGCCAGGACATTGGTCTTCTTCTCCATGCCAGCGATCACACGCTCGATGGCCTGCTCAAAGTGCTTGAGCACAATCGAGTCCTTGGAGTCGCGGGCGGCAATCAGGGCGGCTTCGTTGCACACATTGGCTATGTCGGCGCCCGTGAAACCCGGCGTCAGAGCCGCCATCTTCCGGCTCAAGTCGTTCTTGTCCAGCGTGGTCTTCAGGCTACCCAGATGCACCTTGAAGATGCTCGCCCTGCCCTTGATGTCGGGCGCTGGGACATAGATCTGGCGATCAAAGCGACCCGGTCGCATGAGAGCCTTGTCCAGAATGTCCACACGATTGGTGGCCGCCAGCACAACCACGTTCGTGGTGGTATTAAAGCCGTCCATCTCGACCAGCAGCTGGTTGAGCGTGTTCTCCTGCTCCGAGTGACCGCCGAAGGTCTTGCCGCCACGCTTCCGGCCCACGGCGTCGATCTCGTCGATGAAGAGGATGCAGGGAGCGTGCTTGCGCGCCATGGCGAACATGTCGCGCACTCGCGACGGACCAACGCCCACGAACATCTCGAGGAACTCGGACCCGGACACCGTGATGAATGGCACGTTCGCCTCGCCGGCGGTGGCCTTGGCCAGCAGTGTTTTACCCGTGCCGGGCGGACCGGTCAGCATGGCTCCCTTTGGTATCTTGGCGCCCAGATCGATGTACTGCTGCGGGTTCTTCAGGAAGTTCACGAACTCCATGATCTCGATCTTGGCCTCCTCGCAGCCGGCTACATCTCTGCAGGGGGGAAAGCAATGGGTATTAGTTAAGCAGGTGGATCAGGAAGTGTCATTGGCTCACTTGAAACCCACGCCAATCTCGGTGGGATTGGTCAGCTTGGCCGTGGACTGCATAACGCCGCCAAAGAGGCCACCACCCTTGCGTCCTCGTCCGCCGCCCATCATGTCCGCCGACTTGCGCATCATGTAGACCAGGAAGCCGATGATCAGCAGCGTGGGCAGCAGACCCGTCAAACTGGCCGCCTCCACCTCGTTGCGGTAGATCACGGGCACAAAGTTGATGGACTCCGTTCCCTGCTCCGTCTGTGCCGTCTCCAGGTTCCGCTCGAAGCTGTCCACGCTGCCGATGTTGAACCACAAGACACCGCCGCCACTGTTGCTGTTCTGCTGCAGACGCACACGCACCCACTTCTTGTTGACCACCTCCAGTTTCTCCACCACGCCCTTGGACAGATAGCTGTTTGTGAGCAGGAAAACAGAGGTATGATTATTGATAATAAATAGCAGTTAGTGATATTTCGCTTCTCCTATTTACTATGAGTCCGTCTCAAGCTCAAAAGTAAGAGTTTGTTGATGTAATCAAACATTTAGCTTATTATATTTAACGTTGAGGTGTATGACTGAGAATAATAAGTTATTTAAATTTTGTCAATGTTAATATTATGAATTATCATTTAAAATTGAAAATTGAAAACTTATTAAAGTTATAATAGAATGTTTGCCAAATATAAAGCATCATCACGCTACATATTAATTTAAGTTTCAGTTCTGCTTCAAAACTTCTTAGAGTGGAAGTTAATAAAATCAAATATGTAAAAAGAATTCCAACACATTTTGCAGCAGAAGAAAGTTTTAGGTAGATGGAAACAAAGATTTGTTCGATTTCCGCCTCTCATGATTTCATCTGTATATAAAACTGAAACAAGATCTTCTTGAATTTGAAGCGCACCTGTTGACGAACTCCTTCCAGGAGATCTCCTTGTAGCCCATCTCGAAGAAGGCGAAGGAGCCGACGAGGACGACGGCTCCGATGGCGCCGAGGATGATCCAGCGCTCCCTGTCGCCGCCGCCGCCGCTCTCGCCCAGTGGCCTGCCGCCCGGCGTGTTCGCCCCCCTTCCCGCCGCTCCCCTCGCGCTGTTGCTGAACATCCCGAAGTTCCAATCCGACTTCGAGTCCGTCTGGGATCGGGATTGGCCGGGGGCGGGGGCGGAGGCGGGTTTGGCCGGTGTGCTGGGTTTCTCGGAGGCGGATTTGGCGGCTCCCGCGGGGGGCTTCTTGTCGCCGACGGCTCCTTTGGGTTGGCCAGTCGACTTGCCGCCGGCCTCGAAGTACTTCTCGAATCCCTTGGGCGGCTTCTTGCATAGCAGCTGGATCTGTTTGACTAGGTACCGGAGGAGGGGGGACAGCTCCGCGGGCATGATGTACACCCCGGCGCCAGTGGCTCCCGTCGATGTGCGATGCACCTGGAATTTAGGAGTACGTATTATATTTGAGACTCCTCTGGGTTTTCTGCGGTGTAATCCACTTACCTTTCCCGTCGCATAGTTGCGCCGCATCATTCCGGCCATCGTTTTGGCCGTGCCAAACAGCCGGAACGCCATGACTACGGCGGTTTTTCGGTCTTCGGTCTGCGCTAGGTTACCCAACGATCGGTCGCCCGGATTCGGAATCGGAATCGGATTGCGTGGCCACCGCCTCCAAGCCTTTCACACTGACACAATTTGGAAGTACAATACTGATACTGAGTTTCCGGAATCGAACCGAAACCGAAAGTCGCCGCCTCGTTTGGAATTTTCTCGGTTCAGTTTTTGCCTCGCGAATGAAATGGCTGAAAACGTTCTTATTATTACGCGGAGCGGTGCGGCGATTGTGAAATAGGGTTGTCAGATATGACAATTTATCGATATATATCGCTCATCGGGGACACCAACCTTGGGTTAGAAGTTCGCTACGGCCTAGCTAAGACACAATCCATGCGTTTGAAGATTTCTACATTCGGCTAATCATGTTGTAACAACACAACAACACGAACCTTAATTTAATGAAATGTAAAATTAAGAGGATATTAAATGATGTAGACATGAAAAATTATTTCAAGAATGCTATTATTCAACAGAACTAACATAGTTGGTATTTTTATTCTGGTAAACTACATTTTATTCACGTCAAATAATATTTGAAAAGTTTTGTAGCAAAAAAACTGCGTTAACTTATTCAACCAACAAGCTCTGACTAAATTATATTAAGCAATATTCAATAAATAAGAAATAAAAGTTTTGTTTTTTAATGCAGTAGCAGCTTCTCATTCGAAAAATGGGACAAACATTTGTTATGGTATCTATGTATAAATTAAATTTATTTTTTGTCTCCAGGCCTTAGTTGTGGCCCATTGCCCAAATAATACAATTCAAATTTTAAACACAAAAACGGGAACTTTTTAAAGCTTACATAAGCTCGTATTTGTGCACCAAAAAACACTTGTAAATCATGTCAATAACTAAGGCAATTTCATTTTGACAGGGTTCTACAATAACAATTCTACAATTAGTAAAATGTTTTTTTACAACTTGCTTCCTGAGATTAAAAGAAAAGCGTTGAAAAACTAAGTTAAAATACTCTTTGCAAGCGAATACAAAATAATAACGAGATACCACAGACGTTGATTGCTTTAAGATTAAATGGGCGCAAAGATAATATAAACAAATTGGTTACATATCTACATATTATCTACATATCTACAGAAATGTATTTATATCGCCTTATCAAATGACTTAATCCGATTAACGAAAGATTTTCAAATTTTCTGGTCTGTTCGTTGGAACTTCTGTGAATTTGCAATAATATTTTCAGTCCTTTTTTCATCATATCTTCAACGTTTTTAATCAAATACGCAAATAAATCAAATTTTAATGTTTTCAAGAATATTTCATGTTTGCAATAGCTGCAAGAGTATATGAAGTTCGGCTTGACGAAGTTTGCTTACTTTCTTGTTAGCTTTTAACAATTATCTTACATCAGTACTATATCAACGAAATACTAATAAACTGTATTTTGTTTTAAAAAATGTTGTAAATTTTTAATTTTTTTAATTTTTGACCCTACAAAATTGTTAACAACACCAGTTTTTATTATTATTGGCTAAATATCATGTTTTAAATTGGTAAAATGAGATAGTCTTTCTTGGAATTTTTAATCGTTGCCGGTATATGCCCAATCTTACTATATATATGTATATAGGCAGAAGAGCAAGTTGAGAGAGCCTTCTTTTTTTTTGTCTTCGAGGCTGCTCTTTTTGAACCCGAGTCTCTCTGGAAAAGTGTGCGACTTCCCGAGCTCGATCATTCGCTCTGGTTTTCTCGAGACGGAACAACGCTATTTTCCGTGATCGGTTCTATCCAAAAACAATAATTAAGATGATGACATACGCGAACAGTAAAGCATTAATAATTGCAGTGAATTCATTCGTTTTTATTGCCGGTGTTATCTTGTTAATTATTTACCATTGTACCAATAAAGATGACAAACTTCCAAATTCCGAAGAAGTAAGTGGACATATAGTGACACATATCTTCGAAAATCGAGTCTTTTTGTGGCAGCAGTGTAAATAAATACGTATTTGTTTTATTGTTTTAGTGACTGTCATGCCGTTGCCTTACGAATTCGATCAGACATCGTTGCACAGCAATTACATATTATATACTCAATACAATGTTATAGCATAGAAATATTATATTATTGGCTTACAAATAAAATGAATTGATAAACAACAACGTTCGCATTTGTGGTTTCTCAATGATCTGTGGTTTCTTTTTCAAGACCAATGACCTGACCAATAACAGTAAGGTAGGTCTGTCTGTTCGAGTAAAGAAACATGATTCACATTCCGTCCGATATAAATATTAAAAGGTATGGAAGTTTGCTCTATAATTTAACAAGCCATTTTTGTTCAAGTGTATGTTATCTTCAGAAAAACATTTAACTTTGAAGATAATGTTCTTTAAATTTGCAATCATTAATACAAAACAAAACATTACAATATCGTATGTTTTGCCCTTTACCTGCTTTACCTTAGCTGTTATATTTAGTACGAAGAAGTAAGAAATAATATAACCAATATAGGGTCATTAGTATGGTTTTAAAATGTGCACAGAATTGCTAAAAAGTTTGATTACACTCAGCTAATATAATGAAAGCGGCTGAATTAAAAAACTACTTTACTTACTTACACCCAGAAAAAAGTAGAACGAATAATTTTAGCACGAACGTTCTTGAAAATCGCCCGAATAATTCTTAAAATTTTTAGAACGAACGTGTACAGAATAAGTACGGGTCATACTTGATAATAATATTTTAAAATGTTTTTTTTAAAACATAGAGAAAACGATATTTTTCGCTTTATCCCTGCTTATAGTGTTTGTAAATAATATCAGAATTATTAAAAACAGTAAACTCTATTAAAAACTATTAATTTAACAAAAAAACAAGAACTATAAATTTAAAACAAGAATGTTTCGTTCTTAAAATGATTGGCCTAGGAGGTAAGTGTCTTGGAACATCAAACATTGGGTAAGCTATTAAGAACCCGAGCTCAAATCCCAGACAAAGTTATCAATTTTTTTTTTTTTTTGGTTTTTATGATTTTTTTTCAAACGTTCAATTTTATTTAAATTTTTATCTAGTTGACCTCAAAAGTATAGCAAATAAAAGCTATTTGATTGCAAACAAATTGCTTCGAATTCTTATACACAGCAAATTGAGATGCCAGTGTGGCGCAACCGGCTAATGCGTCTACGAATCCAAAGGCCTCGGTTCGAATCCCGGTTGGGTCGACTTGCAGTAAAATAAATAAGGTTTGCTTTTCTGTTTCCTTTACATATCAATTTATCGTATTCTCTTTCATTCTAATTTCATATGGAGTCAAAAAGAAAAGAAAAAAAAGAGAAAGAGACAAAAAAAAACATTTTTAAAAAAAATTTAGGTTAAGAAACTATCATACTTGCATTAAGAATTTTTCGTACTCAAATTAATATCTTTCGCTCTTTCTTCAAGCACTTTTGAGTACTTGGACCGATGTCGTTCGTTCTCAAATGTAGAACTTCGGGATTGAATAATTCGTTCTTGAATATAGCCTTTCGTTCTTGAATCAAAAAAATTCGAATTTACCCTACTTTTGACATCGTTCGTTCTTGAATTGACATCGAAATTCTTGATTTTTTCTATGAGTGTACTTATTTTTACTCCATATAACACAGAACTTTATTTATTTATTTGTAGTTTTGTCTTAACGAATTTCACCATCAAACTTTTTTACCGTCTTCCCACATTTTTAATTATACATCATTATTTTATAGTTTTCAACAGATTAAATAAGTTTTAGGTAGCTCTTCATTTTATGAAAATTTTCAAAACTTTATGAAGATATTAAGACGTTACCTAAACAACATTTTTGCAAAGGTTGCAGGAAGATAAATATCAAAGAATCTTAAAAGAAATTTTAGCATCAGAAGAACCATATTTGTTTATGTAAGAAAATCTTTACTTTTTGGTCTTTTCCAGTCGAAAAGGTTTTTCCCACAAGCGCTGGCCTTTAATTTTGATGGCTCAGGGAAAAGGGTGTGCTGAGGTGAAGTCAACGTGGGTCGGCCTTTTAAACGATAATTAAAATGCATCAATTTATTGCCGCGCGATGTGCGAGCAATAATAGCCATTTAATAAATACGCTCAATCAATGCCTCGCGTCTCTTCTCGCCCAAATAATGAAAAGAATTGCGGGCACAAAATATTTGCTTAATTAAAGTAATTATGGTTTCATATTTCATGCGGCGCGAACCTGTAGCTGGGGCCCTGGAGTCCAAGGCTCGGTCTGGGCGGTAATTACGTTTTGTCATAAATTTAACATTTATTTTAAAATGTCATTAAGTGCTTAACATGCTGTCTCTGTCTCGCGATTCGCCCTTTCCCGTCCTCTTTCTCCCTCGTTTTCCACTATTTTTTAAGCAGTGGATTACACACTTCCTTGATGGCTTGGCATCATTCAAGTGGCCAAAAAAAATAGAACTAGCAAATGCAAATTGCCAGCAGTGATGGGGTATTTTTTTATATAAATGGAATTCCATTATTTTCTTTTTTTAATTCCGTTCAACAAATAATAATATATATTTCAGATTGTTATTATGCCAATTGAGTTATGAGTTTGTACTTAAAGAAATTAAATTTATATCTGCTTTAAATATCTGCTTTAAATATTTAAATTTAAATAGAATTTAAAAAATTTATACAAACTTAAATTGTTTATTTAACTTTTGTTGTTATTGATCAACTTGTTAATTCTCTGTTTAATTTATTCTGTTTTAAACATAAACAATTTCAATAAAACAAAAATATAATTGAGGTTTTCGGAAGTTTTTAAAAATATATTTTAGTTAATTAATATATATCTGTTTTTTTTTTGGTGAATTGGGAACTGATTGCGTTTGGTAATTCCTGAATTTCCCTATTGATAAATATGTCTTAAACGGTATGTGTACTATATTTATGATACTAATGTAAATTTTTGGGTTCTGTGGAGATGGCCGATAACTTTACCATCGCTGTTGGCTGCGGATCCATGGACACATGTTGGTAAATGTCTGCAGATGAATGTGGCTTGCAACAAAAGGAGGAGCACAAAAAAATGAGTGCAGGAGAAGTGGTACGAAATGTGACAAGAGAATCCAACACCGAATGAATAATGTAAATACGCCAAGTGTACAAAGTTTTAATTGTTATCATGTTTTGTTTGAGCGTCTCTGTGTGTGTGTGTCAGTATGTGAGTATGTGTGTGTGTATGAGTATGTGGCACTTATGCTGTTGCCTGCTGCTGCCGCCTGCTGCCAAGATGCATCCATATCCATTTACGCCTGGCCAAGTTGAACGTTGCGCATACGACACATTGGTCTCGGATCTGCAGTTGGCTGAGTGGCCTGCGGCAGCGGCAAAGTTTTCATTTTGCATATGCGCCTCGAGGCGCTCTGTCATTTCACTACCCAAACTCGGATCGGAGGGGTTTAAATCCACGTTTTATTTCGGCACAAATAAACTACTTTTTAAATCAAACTGTTTTGTCTGGGGATTTTCAGGCAGATTGCGAAGAACATTTGCCTGGCTTCATTAAAGCTCGTTTTTATTTTCTTAAAATTTTATTACTGGATTTATGAACGCATATACATTGTGGCAATTTTCTATATTTTCAAAAGTTACTGCAATGTTTTGTTTCATGTTCGTGTCTAAACGTTAAATTGCACAATTGTTGAAGATACGCACAAATTTGTTCTGCTCAAGCTGTATATCTGCATTTCGCAATTGCTTAATAAATCAAACTCTTTTGAGCATCAACTTTATCTAGCTTTAGTTTACTTTTTGAATCTTTTAATTTATTCTACACAAAATTACTTAAAATTGGCCAGCAATTCTGTCCACTTCTTCGTCCTCTTAATAGCCTCTATTATTTAAAGTTTTCTTTAATTTGCAAAACGTTTTGCTCCGACCATTTAAGGCATTTATGGCCATTAAAGTTTAAAAATGTTTCACTTGTAGTTGATTTGCATAAATATTTAAACTTGTTTAGCTCGTATAAGCATTTTTGCCTCTGACTTTTGCCATGCAAATCCAGGCATCCTGTGGCTTTGGCCGTACATGTTTGGCACAAATTTTAAGTGATTTATGCTGGCCGCAATTGGTCTGCCCAATAAATACGTAGAACGACGCACCGGGAGCTATGAAAAATGCATAGTGTGTGGGTATCAGTATCTCCATCTCCATCGAAATCTCCAACCGAACGAGCATGTATGCATATTTATTTGCCAACATTTACTTATGCTGCATTTGAGGCAAGTCGTTTGGTTTTTGGCCAACTCAAAGGCAGGTCCAGATTCAGGTTCACGTCCAGACAAAGTTGCCAGCCATAGATTTGGCATAAGGACGCACATGAGCTATCAGCTTGTATGGCCAAACAACAACAGAGCACTTGAAAGTTTTGCGAATCGGCTTCTCTGTTTACCCGAGCACTTGTTTATTTGATAATAATTCCAGTTTCAGTTTCGGTTTCAGTTTCAGTTCCACTTCCAGCAGATGCAAGGGGTTTCTTGCAAAACAAACTATTTGCGCTGGCCATTCTGAGGAAGTCCGAGCTCGATTCACATAACGAGCCACTCTTTTGTCTAAATAAATAATCAAAATGTCATAACAAGTGGGCAAGTGGGCGACGGGGGCGAAGTGTATCTCATCTGGCCGGCATGTATCTGCAATGTTTATGCAAATTCCGTGCTGCAGCTCCTTGAGGCCATGAATCCACCATGCCTCCATGCCGTGCTCCTGATTACGATACGCACGCAGCCAGTTCGAGCCGGCTTCCCCCAGGATGCATCAGTGCAATATAAATATTTTACATAGATTTTACATAGCTGATTGAAGTCCTCTCTTGCCCCTCAACCCTCAACCATCCCCTGCCTGCAAACTCATGCTGTGAAATTATCCTCCGCATGGCAATCATATCAAATCAAATTTAAAGTGCCCCTCACTAGCTACAGTGGGCAAATTGGTCGGAGGTGCCAGGTCCTTAAAGCGAACACACACACAGCTTGATTTGCTTTAATATTTGTTTATTTTTGCCGGTACTAGCTGCCTGCATTTGTGGCCTCTAATTAAAAGTGTTTTTGATATGCAGCTTTCCTCTCATAACTTATTTATTTCGGATATTTTAGCTGTGAGGGAAATTATTTCGTTGCAA